TATATATCTAACTCCATATACATGTATACAGCGCCATGAAAGTACTGTACATCAATAGTCAATGTTATATGTTTATTTAGCCAACTGAATATTCATCAACAGTCATTTAGTTAGGTTATATATGAAAAAATTCAATGTCATATGCATATACAGCAAACTCAATTTACATACACAGCCAATAAAGGTATGTACATGAAAAAGTCACCGTCATATGCCTGTACCGCTAACTCTTATACATATATGGCCATCTGATTTATGTACCTGCAAAAATCAATGGTATTTGCATATTCAGCCGATGTAATATATAATGACCCCACATATTTGGAAGAATAAATCATTTTTCTAAAATTATTTCATATTAATATAGTTTTGAGAAATATCATAACATAATCACTTACAATATTCCATTTATTCTGTCAAAGGATATGCTGGTTCATACAAAGTAACAACAGGCGTCTTTACATTTGTTCATGTTTTTTCTTTAATTATATACATTTAGTTAGAGTGCTTTAACTTTGCACTCTGGAAATCTGGAGATATCTAAGTGTACAATTTTATCGTTGAGAAATTTTTAAATAAGTTGATTTTATTGAATATTATTTATGAAAAGTAAACGTGGATTTGAAAAATCAATCGTATGAGTCAATCTTAGAATACCAAGGGTCCACGACTAAAAAAATTGTCTAATCTGGAATATCTATTTACAGTAAAAAATTCCAATATTTAGAATCAAAACTTCAGTGAGTTCATGATGAAATTTTGATATAGCTTTAAAGCGTAGCTTACAAAATGAGGAACTAAAATGAGGAACTAGTATCAATGTCACGCGATACAAGTATAAATCTTTTATACCAACGTTTCGACATAATAATGTATATAATAGAATAAGTAACTTGAATAGCAAGTCTGGTTTAAACTCATGCCACGTATGATAAATCATAAAAATTACATACTGGTATGGTATCTCCCGCGAAAAAACAGGATCAGAATTAGGGAACCAAATGTGATCGCACGAATGCACACACAAGTTGTTATGCAAGTTTTTGTTGTACTGTCTTGACACGGTTTGATGAACTTGAACTGAAAATAAAATTAGGAAAATTACTAACTCGAACACTGAGGGTCTATAGTTATTCAGACCTATACATTTAACCTCGCACAAAATCATTCATTGTTGTCGATAAATTAGTTATTGATGATCATATATACAGGATCTATTTCATAAATGCCAACAGTATCTCATATCCGTGGCATACCTAACTAAAGGAAATTGTTTTAAGGCTTTACTAACCTCTATATTGAAGGATAATTGAAATTATGATCTAAAAGGAATTCCGGAGAGATTCAATTGTCACAATTACATATTGACGTTTGCGAATCATTGTCAGTATCTAAAATTTGTTGCCCATTAGCTGTGGAACTACACTACATTTAGCGTGAAATATTCCTAGACTACACAGTGTCTTAAACAAACGTTTTCGTTTCGAATAAAGTTAACGACAAATTGATCGGTTGTTTACAATTCATTATCATGTTTTAGAAAAGATGACACTTTGGGTAAAAAAAACACTCATTGTTGATATCGATAAATTTTACCTATTGATAATCCATAATCTTATATAAATGATCTTCAATAAATGCTAACGGAATCTCAAATCCACGGCATTTATAAATAAAGGAGGTCCTAAGAATAACAGAAGTATCTTATAGGCGACTTACACTGAAATCCGTTACCTAATCATTCTAAAGGTTTAAATCAAAGTAGTAAGTAAATCTAGTGCCACCGCCTTACAATTTGCTGGTGGGACCCTAGCTGTGAGTAAAAACCTGATGTGTCGATAAAATGGTGAACTAGTGTGATGCAAACCAGGTAATATTTTTACAAATATCAAAACATTTAGTCGAATAAATTTTTTTTAAGGATCAGCATTCTGTCGATTATGACCATCTTTAGTAATAAACATTTTAAAACAATTCGTCTATTAGTTTGATTTTGCCCATCTTCAACAATTTCTCATTCCAACAACAACAACAACTATTTTTTGCAATACGATACACTTTGTGTCTAAAAGTATCTCTAGTAACTTGATAATGCTGGCTCTTGTTCGGTTCATTTGTTAACCTCTATATTGAATCAGAATGATTGGAATTATCAATTGCAAAGGGGTTTCGGAGCCATTGCGAATAATCACAAATACATTTTGGCGTTGGATGATCTTCCATTTGTCAATATCTTCAGTTTGTTGCCCATTGGCTTTGTGACTTATCGAGCAAGCTCACTTTTCTAGACTCCGCAGTGTCAAAAACCAGAGGGTTTCTTTTCGAATAGAATTGACAACAGTCTTGGTCGACTTTTGAACAACCTGTATTAAATAGAATGAGATCGATAACATATTATACAAATACATTCATAATATATACCACCTAAAGGCACCTATACAGCCAACTCATATACATATAGCGCCAATGCCAAATGCCTATACATCCAAATCAATCTAATATGCGTTCATTCAAGTGATGTACATACACAGCAAAAATATGCATTTATATTCAACTCAATGTACGTATACGGTCATTTAAGTTATGTACACACAAAACCCAATGACATATGCATATATATCTAACTCCATATACATGTATACAGCGCCATGCAAGTACTGTACATCAATAGTCAATGTTATATGTTTATTTAGCCAACTGAATATTCATCAACAGTCATTTAGTTAGGTGATATATGAAAAAATTCAATGTCATATGCATATACAGCAAACTCAATTTACATACACAGCCAATAAAGGTATGTACATAAAAAAGTCACCGTCATATGCCTGTACCGCTAACTCATATACATATAGAGCCATCTTCTTTATGTACCTGCAAAAATCAATGCTATTTGCATATGCAGCCGATGTTATATATAATGACTCCATATATTTGGAATAATAAATCATTTTTCTAAAATTATTTTATATTATTATAGTTTTGAGAAATATCATAACATAATCACTTACAATATTCCATTTATTCTGTCAATTGATATGCTGGTTCATACGAAGTAACAACAGGCTTCTTTACATTTGTTCATGTTTTTTTTTTAAATATATACATTTAGTTAGAGTGCTTTAACTTTGCACTCTGGAAATCTGGAGATATTTAAGTGTACAATTTTATCGTTGAGAAATTTTTAAATGAGTTGATTTTATTGAATAATATTTATGAAATGTAATCGTGGATTTGAAAAATCAATCGTATGAGTTTAAAATACCAAGGGTCCACGACTAAAAAAATTTCTAATCTGGAATATCTATTTACAGTAAAAATTTTCAATATTTAGAGTAAAATCTTTAGTGAGTTCATGATGAAATTTTGATATAGCTTTTTAAAGCGTAGCTTAAAAAATGAGGAACTAAAATGCGGAACTAGTATCAATGTCACGCGATACGAGTATAATAAGTCTTTTCTACCAACGTTTCGACATAATAATGTGTATAATAAAATAAGTAACTTGAATAGCGAGTCTGGTTTAAACTCATGTCACGTATGATAAATCATAAAAATTTCATACTGGTATGGCATCTCCCGCGAAAAAACAGGATCAGATTTAGGGAACCAAATGTGATCGCACGAATGCACACACAAGTTGTTAGGTAAGTTTTTGTTGTACTGTCTTGACACGGTTTAATGAACTTGAACTGAAAATAAAATTAGGAAAATTACTAACTCGAACACTGAGGGTCTATAGTTATGCAGACCTATAGATTTAACCTCGCACAAAATCATTCATTGTTGTCGATAAATTAGTTATTGATGATCATATATACAGGATCTATTTCATAAATGCCAACAGTATCTCAAATCCGTGGCATATCTAACTAAAGGAAATTGTTTCAAGGTTTTACTAACCTCTATATTGAAGGATAATTGAAATTATGATCTAAAAGGAATTCCGGAGAGATTCAATTGTCACAATTACATTTTGACGTTTGCGAATCATTCATTTGTCAGTATCTAAAATTTGTTGCCCATTAGCTGTGGAACTTCACTACATTTTGCGTGAAATATTCCTAGACTACTACAGAGTCTCCTAAACAAACGTTTTCGTTTCAAATAAAGTTAACGACAAATTGATCGGTTATTTACAATTCATTATCATGCTCTAGAAAAGATGACACTTTGGGTAATTTTTTCATATATTATCGTGCGTACGTGATATTAACATGTCAAGTTCGCTCTGTCAAGTGTTAAGGTGTAGTGATCTCTTTTTTGTTGATTCTTCAATATTAAAAAAACATGAACTAAATTTGAAACATGCCAACATGAAAGCCGGCCCACCACTGTCTTGCGTCATGTCAGTATATTCTTCATCCGAGTCAAAGTGATTTGCTAACGCTTTTAAACTAGAATACCGGTTAGAAATCGAAGACTTATCGATCGAAGGTTAGGGGATCCCCAAAACAGTGGTCTTACTCCATAGTGACAACGTGTGTCCAATCACTAATTAATTAATAACTCGCTAATTATAAGACATAATCCATCCAAAATCAAAAGGCTCCTGATCCGAGCTATGATGAATGCACATGCAAAATTTGGAGCAGATTCAACCTCGCTTCCGTGAGATATCGCGTGCATCTAACACACAGACAGACAAATACATATCAACATACTTACCGATCTTAAGATCGATAAGTAATAAAACATAAATCCCAAACGACCATATGTTCCAAAAATCATTGCTACACTTGGCCTTCAGCTTTTTTTTATTTGCATAGCAAATTTACCCGTAATATTTTTTGTAGGCCCATAGTGCTGTCAATATTACCTCAGATTACAGTTTAGGGCACTTATTTACGACATGAACTTCCAATTAAGCAAACGTGATTCATCAGCGACCCTAACAGGATTTGCTTGAAATATTGTATATTTTCAATAACCACTTCGGGAGATGCAACTTTCCCACTTCCCTTTCATGCCAAACCAAAATCACTGACAAGTTTCTCAAACCAGATCAAACATTTATTCAAGATTTATTAAAAAAAATAAACTACTTTTTATTTATCGCACAACTTGGACAGTTTTCTCTTCTTTGTCTTAACATTTTTACATTGTCTTCGTTGGTCGAAGATACATTGCTCCCAAATATGATCTACTCATAAGTGTGTCAATAGAGGCTTCTTCGGGCATTTTTATTTCCATTCTTACGAGCGTAGGTTTTTCAATTTCGAACATTTTCGAACCTTTTAATACAACACAGGAATGGTTTTGAAGATGTGGATGCATTTTCTCTAATTTTTTTCTACTTGTTGAATTTCGATGGTTGTGAGAACAGACTACGCTTTCTTCCATTTCCAAAACATCTTTCGTTTCATCTTCACGCTTGCCACTAGCTTTCAGAAGATGAGCCTTATAGCTGTTAAATTATATAAATTTCATTGTTATTAAGAATAAGATCCTTATTTGGCAGTATTCGATACAATATTCATTACCTGCTTTTAATGGAAATGTTCGACCTGAAGTGGATCTGGAAATATATGTGATACCACCCGGGTATTGTGAAGTTCATGTGACCGTCTACGTGCTGGATTCCATTCTGAGAATGAGCAATTTCGTTGCCAGTTTCCCAAATCCATGATACATTCCTCATATCTGGATTATCTCTTTTATCTAAAATATAAATTTAACACTATGGTAATTTTACTGCACATATATGCAAAAATTAAGCTCCATACCTAGAAACATTTGTTATCTTCTGTTCTAATGTGAATAATTGAAATCATGGTGTCCAGGTGGGAATATATAAGTAACGGGTGTATAAATAAATGGTTGCATGAGTATGAAATTGAGAAGTTACATTAAAAATGATACTCACTGGCGAAAGCGGGCCTTTCACTCTTTTCATCAAGGTACCAATGTGCAGATGGTCTCGGAACATTTAAGTTGAGTATCTGTATTCGATTTAACACCGAATTACTGTCCTCCATGTTCATGGCACTTTTTAGTGCTGTTTTATATAATAATAATAAAATTGAACTGATTGCAACTATTTAAACATGAAGGAGTAATTTCGATCAACCACATATTTTTTTTTATATTGTTATAGTGATTTTACTGGGATGAGAAAATCACGACATGGAAATAACTAACAAAATACACCGAATATAAAAAAATGAACTAATATTGATATAATAAGGAAATGCGGAATACGAAGTTACACTGCACATATGGAACTAATGGTTTATTATGCACAAAATCGAATCAAGCTTCCCTTCTAATATTTTTCGATTTTAGGGAATAAGTACGAGATATAAGATTAATACTTTCTTGGCAATAAAATAAAAAGATACCGTCAGAAAATATTTATCATCTTACTATCCATATGAGCTTGGTAAGAAGGTCCTGATTTAATCTTTTTATCAATTATCTAAAATTAAATAAAATATCAATTAAAAACCCATGCAAAGGATGTGTATCGCATTCTCATATTTTACATTTATTGAAAGTAATAATTTATTCACCGCGGATAAGTATTCTTTTCTTTTTTCTGTCAATTTGCAATCCTCCGTGTTAGCATAGTTGTTTTCCGATCTATAAATAGGTAAGATTGATCTATAGTTTATGAAGCAAAAATTTCATTAAAAAATTATGTGGAAAATACAAACGTATCACATTTTCATATCGCTGTTACCATCGTTCCAATTTAAAAGATGCTATTAATAAAATAAATTTTTAGTTGTACATTTTTCCCATTTCTCCGTCAAGCTAGGCTACGCTTTGTCGAGCTGTAGTACATAGTAATTACCGACAATTGTAACTGTTTGGTATGTCGTGTTTTCCGATCTATCATCCAAACGATTGCTCACCTCGGCATACATGTTGCTTCACATCCGTTCTTCTCGAGTCCAGCTTTGCAAAGGGCACATTGAATCTGAGGTTTCAACTCTTCAAGTATCTTCGCAGCCTCTGATTTACTCGGATGAAAAACTAAAGCAATTGCTGCAACAAACACCGATGCAGCCAACATAAAACAGGAACAAGCCAATAGAATAGTCGACACTTTTAACATATTACTAGACGAGGTATGTAACAAAATTTAACTGCAAAAAAATCTTTATGATAAATGGACGTTAAAATAAATTCATATGTCATAGATTGCACTGGTCTTCTACTTAACAGTATTTCTCGTTCGGTGCAATGCATGCGGAATTTAGCGAAATTCAGTAACGTTGAGCGCTCCAAGCTGCATCCAATGCTAATTTTACAATCAAGAATATCATCAAACTGAAAGGGGACATTTCTAAAAACGCTCAAAAGGCCATTTTATTGTAATAGCACACACTGATATACGAACGCGCGAGATATACGAATACTTCAAATTACAGCGAGTATTTTGTAGAAAGAGGAATAGCAGCGATGTGAGCTGTTTGTATAGACTTACGCCCCACTTCACATAAGGTAACGGTAAACAAGTCGACGATCCACAACTAGCCAAATATAGCGCTGTAAAGCGGAACCAGCAACCGGGTGTATTTTGAGGGAAGATTAAATTACCAATTCGTTGTTTCTCGGTCGGTCCACGCGTGTAACAACGCTATTATTGATTGCGTGGACTGTCATAGAAACATTTGTATGTAGATAAGGCCAAAACACGATCGCCCTTGCGAAATAAAACGACAACCGTTAAATAGAATAGGGGATTTCAAACTGTCAACAATCTTTACCTACAATGACACCTTCGTTCTCATATATGTATGATGTAATAGATAGCTTTTTGTTTGTCGTATATGTTCACGTAATGAGCTTTTTAGTAATAAGTAGTAGTTATATTACCATTTTGTATAAAACACAATTAGGGCATGTTTTGTGCTGCATGGACTGATTGTTACAATACAAATTGTGTTGAATCGTCAACAGGCTTAGCTGGCTTAGGTAGGCGTTTCGCTATTTGCTTCCAATAGAAAAACAAAGTCAGATAAGCACATCGTACGATCAGGTCATCGACCTTGATATGTACAGAATATCGCGTGATATTATAAACGCTTGTTTATTCGTCCTCGAATAGCACTCTATAATGAATCCAGCTTAATAGTTCACTTTTAGACGGAACCCTTCGTGCTCGTAGAGGAACTTGGAATAATTTTGGAATTTGGATAACAATAAAAAGTGATGTCGTATACGTCAATATCGTATTTCGTGGAAAGCAAACCTGGTAGCCTATAACGAATTCCGATAATTGAGAATATTAGTCCAATATTTTGATGCCGATACTTCTAAAAATGGATAATATAAAATAATCTTGAATCCAATGCCGATGGTGCATAATGAACAATATATCGGTACGATTTTTGTCGTAATAACCCCAAGGCGGGAGGGACTCTCTTAATCATCTTTTCAATAAAACCTTTTTTTTATAATTCTATGTTGTTAATATACTATAGCATCATTCTAATGATTCCAATGCCATCTTATGGCCAGCATATACAATATACCGTATTTAAATTTTATCATACAATATGTGACAAACAAGAAATTAAAGAAGAACGAATAAGTGCATGGAGATCATAATTTATTTTTTTCCTATTGATATATATTTCAATCGTTCAATAAATCTTTTGTTGCCAAATAAAAAATTACAAACATGAAAAGTATACATGCAATAGTAAATTATAAATGAATAAAAAAATGAATATAAACTCACAGCCACGGAGAAACTATTTTCTACACATATAATGATCGAGCCTAACTTGGGTAATCACATCAATATGGGGTTGTGTATATGTTAAATCTTGGCTGTTTACGTATGATGGAACCTTTCACGATAAACCTTAACTGAGCTTTGTTTCGCGCTTGTTTTTTCAGCGTGAAAAGAAAATGACATGTCGCGTTTTAAAGCTCGAAGGCCGTGTTTAGCTTGAAATATCCTAAAAATTCGAGTATACATATTTCTCCGCTGAATGACTCAAGAAGATTTATGTTGTTTGTTGACCTTTGCGTAAATAGCTCTCCTCTCAGACACATCAGCTTCGCTTAGAGCTTTTCCGGAATCTTGCACGTCTTCCTGGGCAAGTAAAATCTTACATTCGTTATCAGATTCGTCCATTGAATTGTCTGACAAAATCCAGCGGGAGTCATCCTGAGTTCTTTCATCCGCTAGTGAATAAACCTTGTCATATTCGTGTTCACTCTCATTATTACTACGATAGTCACCAACAAGGGCGTATTCTGGTTCTAAAATAATTCTACTTGGATTGTAGAGAGACGTTGTTTGAGTCGCAGAGGACTGCAACTTGCCTTCAGGAAACATGTTGCAAAATCCCGATTTTCCAGCCTTCATCTGCGTGTATTTGAAATACGCGATTAGGGTAGAAATGAATACGACGACGAGAATCACTACAAGAACAATAAGCCAAGCGTGCGCAACTGCAAGTTTAGATTTGTGTTTAGATTTCAAACGGGCAATATTATTTTGAAATTTCTTGACGAGTGGGCTGGCATGGCAGGAAATTAGCTGGATATCGCAGGGAAGGGTAATTTTATATTTTTCCATTCCGCAAAGTTTTGGATTCAGTTTGACAAAACTTCCATTATATCGGCAATGTTTTTCCCACGACATGGTACCTGCCAATGTTCCGTTTCCACAAGGTGGTACGATGCTCGATTTGGTTTTACATCCAGAAACTTTAATCCACTCACTCCAGCTTGGTTTGGAACCAGCAATGTCTACATAATATGATGATAATGTTGACTCGTTTCCCTGGCGACAGAATTTATTGTTGACAATACTTCCATCGCATTTGTAACAATTTACTCTTGCCGTTGCTCTCGCTGTTTTCAGTTGTAATTGCTTTTTACATTGAAATCCTTTTGATTTCTCCGTTGTTTTTGGAAACAAGCTATACCATGGTAGCAGTGAGCACACATCACATCGGTGGTATTGAAGCCAGCATTTATAGTTACCGCAATTGAGATTAACTTTTACATACATGGATGCAGTACTTGTCATGTTTGTGATACTAGGGCAACGTTTATCGCCTTTGATCAGATGACAAAGTTTACCATTAACATCAGAATACAAGTTTATAATTTTTCTGGCATTTTCATGTCGATTGTTATCGTTGCAGCGATACACGTTCCTGACTATGAATACCTGTTGATGATATATTTTCGGTAGTCTATTCTTTCCATAGCAGAGAGTATGATATCCTCCTTGTGTCCACGTTCTTTCCAATTTCAAGTCTTTGCAAACAAAATCAGTACTGCTGCATGTCGCATGTTTCAGAATACCTGTTTCACTCAATTTCAGTTGTTGCAAAACGATAAGTAATACTATGATTTTCTCTGCGTCAAGCACCATAACGAGAATTATAAATTCATTGCTTGAAAAATAGTCTACTGCGCTCCTCCATTGTTCAACCAGTCCAAATGCTATAAGGACATTGCCCACGCGGAAGCGCTCGATGTAAAGATAGCATACCACATGCATATATGTTATATTACCAGAAGGTTACTGCCCGCAGCAACTCATAATTTTTCTTCGTCTCTATTATACAAGAAATCAAATCGGCGCAGTGGGTGCATTTCGACAGCATAGTTGTAGCGCCGTTTCGTATATCCGGATCTGTACCTTCTAGGTAAATTGAAGATATGACTCTGTTCAAGCACATCGCGATATAGAACTGATGCACTTTGATAAACATTTCAGGAAACTACATTATGCCAACTAATTTATTGATATTGTCGGTTCTGTAGCATCAAAGCATATATAAAAAGGCATATGAGTTTATTATATTGCATATTGTTCTGTAATAACAACTGTGGAAGATTTGTATAGAATTTGTACGACAACCTCAATGTTATTTCAACTGCTGTACATGCTTTTATTTCAGGTGAATTTTGGAGATTGACTCACCACAAAATTCTAAAACTTCATGAGTTCATGAGTGAAAATAATTACAACATATATACACCAAAAGTAGACTGATGTCCGTCTTTGTTGGTAATTGAAGTACCGTCGGGCTTGGTAACAGTAACTCGTAACAGATCTCCAGATGTGAACCGGTAGATTCCTTTTTGATATGATACGTGCGATTTTTGGCTAAATTTACTTTTGTCACATAGCTGGTAGTTGTTTTCCATCAAAATTTTTGGTGAATCTCTACTTCGAGCAAGAACTTCAACATATTGTACAGCGTGTCTTTGTATTTGTGGTACTTTAATTTCCACTGAAATGAATTTAACGAAAAATCATTTAGTTCTAAATTTTGTTTGCCTGATTTATTTATTCAAAGTTGATAATGAAAATTTCTAATTTTTCAAGAACCTATTCATTCACCTTTGTTTCCACAATGTAATGATACTTGACTGTAAACAACGTAATATGCATCCATTGGTATCACAATGTCGTTCTCTTGTAGTTTGGGATCCACATCTTTACACTCTCCCCCATACTTCATTTCCCATCCGGTCACCGTTTTCATATTATCTACATTTTCTAGAGTATATATATCACGAGATTAAAACCATGAAAAATATCTATATTATAAGAAAAATTTTCATCCTACCTTGCGTTTGGCTGGGGTCTATAGATAGCTTGTCTGATTCAAGATGTATGAATCCTCTCGGTATTTCACTCCATAGATTCAAGTACTGTGTTTCGTTCAAATTTTCATTGATAATAACTTGTCTCATTTCTTTGTTCATAAATGAAAAAAAACGTATTTATGTTACATTGAAATAAATACGATCATTATAGCTTCAGTCGTCTTTTATATAAAATATCTTGTTAAAAACACGTATCATTGCAATATAACAATGTTTTCGCCTAATTTAACCGTTTATAATCAAATTATTACGCAACTCACGCGTTATCGCGGACAGTGTACGATGACACATTTTTTTGTGACTGGCAATTTTCCCGACCATCTGCAATAAAAAAAGATTATTTTGTAATTTATACTGATTTTTTAAAATTGGAATTTGAAATGGCTAGCACTATAAAAAACTCGTACTACTCCTTCAAGTTTAATTAGGTCAAAAGATGTTGAATAAATCGAAATTGGAAGATGAATAAATCAATTTTACTGTTAATACCAACGTTTTAGAAGCTTGAAATATAAGATTAATTACAGTTATATTTCAATAATATACACGAGTCAAATATTAAAATTCTTTACCAAATTTACTTTGTGTTCATCTTTCTGTTGGTAAGGTTCCATCGCTTGATATTGATTTTTCAAATCATCCAACTGAGCTTTTAATCGAGCTACGAAAAAAATCGTCAAGCGTTAAAAAATTATGATATAGGTCATAGGGGAACGATAGAAACATAAGCAAAATATGAACCACATGCATATGTGGGATAATGAACCAACGATGAATTGATTGGGACTCAAAAATTTTGAGTTCGCATGATTTTCTGTTCTCGCGGAAGTGTATAGATCAGGTTATGTGAGCTTTGCAGCGACGGTTATTTATACATGCTACGTTTACTCTTTCAAAATCTATATGTTGCTATAAGTACCTGCTTATGTGGCAACATTTATATTAGTAGTGTTTTCAATTTTAAAAACATAAATAACCCCAAAATAAATTCTTCCCAGAGTCATTGCAATGTTTATAATATAAAAATCAAAATATCACCAATATTATCTTCTATACTGCTTTTCTCTGAATTATGATCCAAGACAATATAACCCAACAACAAGGTCACAGCAAGTGCAAATACATAAAATGCGCCCGATAAAAGTTTAAAGTTGTTCCTGTCTGTGCGGTAAGAAGGTCCCTGGAAATACTTCAACAATTTAAATTATAATACGATTAAAAAGTGAAGAAAATTCCTAAGAGAAATGCAGACAAGGCTCGAAATCTCGGAAGAAACACGAAATAGGAAAAGTAAAGAATAAATAATATTGATAAAATAAGTACCTGGTCTGTGTATAATAAGTTTTCTCCGTCCATTTCTTCAGTCATATTCACTCTTGTATCCTGCACAAATATTCTATACAATCACCTATTTTAAGCTGAACCTTATCAATCGAAGATTTTTATTATAAATATGATATAGCAGTTAGCTAATACATGACTATCACTATTAAATTATGAATGCTTTGGTGCCTAAATAATTCTTGTCGACGAAAGCTGCGTCAAATTGTCGAACAATCAGTCAGTCACAGGTATTTATCTCAAAGCTTTGTGGATTTGCACTGTATTCTTTCAGCTATAACGTTGCGAGGTCGTTTCTAAAGCGGAACTCGACCGTATCTTTGTTGACGACGAACGAGAGGTGAATTCCGAGGGTAGATATTACAGTTTCGACATGTTTGCGAACTGTACAGTCGCTGGCGAAAATTCACCGTGCTGAACATGGGGCATATATAGGTCGATATGTGAGAGATGTTTGATTAAAAGTCGTTTATTGCTTGTGTTCTCGTAGATATTGTCAGACATGAATAAACAGCCGATAAGGTTTTGAAAGAGATAAAGCAAGGGGTTTGGCGCTCCTGAAGTATGAGTACCAATATATGAAGGTAAATAATTTTTTTGCCTGCTTTAGATCAATTTGTGTAAAGGTACCGAAACCGGTTCCATTACATTTGAACCCGCGTACATTTGAACCAATGACAATTGCACCTGTATGTTATTGCACCTATGGAATTTTTTTTGTTTCACGGATAGTTAAACCCATACTAACCCTAACTTATGGGTTTTAGCACCCGCATATAGATTGAACCCGTGGATATACGCATGGGTTCAAATGTACGTGGGTTCAAATGTACGGTCACCACCGAAACCTATTGACAGGGTATTCACTTTGCTAACACTTGCATTCCCCGAGCTTGTAATAGAACTACAACAAGGAAGAAATCATGGCGTAACCCTAACCTGGTACTCATACTTCGGGCGTACCCGGGATTTTACTATTCTTTCCTAACAACACAATTGTTCCACATACGTATTATTTGATTCCAGCAAAATAATCGAAGTCAATAGTCCTAAGAGGATAATTAGTTAACATAGTTATCGTCGACAGGTCATACTAAACGTGAACAGTATTTTATTGCCAAATTCATATGCTTCAAAAGTTAAGTTGAAGCAGAACACTTGGGCGTAAATTTGATTTGATGATTTATGTTCTGGGTTAGGGTAGATATAAAATGCCCAGAGCAGGGCTACTCAACTATTTTTGGGTCCGTATACAAAATTTTAACTTTCTGGGGTCCGGTATGGCCAGAAAATGTATCTCATACTGCGCCTAACTATATTTTTCGGTTAAAGAGTTAAGGGAACGCGAGTTGTGGAAAACTGAGTAACCGCAAAATATTCCACACCCTTTTACATATTCAAAGTTGAATGGAGACAATTCTCCAAAATAAAAATAAAATCAGCCGCAGTCGCTTGAAAGGTCCCTGAGTATCCCTGGCCTAGATCATTAGGGTTGGAGTGCCTTGATACAGTTGCCGAGGCCATTTGTTTATATTTCTTTTTGAAACAGCTGCAGAGGCGGAAGTTATCGGCGATCACGATAAATATTTTTACGTATATTGGAAGTGAAATCTTCAATCAAAGTAGTGATATAAATACTTCCTGTCAATTTTTTTTCAAAATAACGAAAGCAGGCGAAAAGATGTTAAAATTCCCTTTTTCTTTTTCGTGTTCATTTAAATTGCAGTATCATTAGGTTGGGCTGAATGAAATAACTCACATGTCAAGAAAACTTAAATTTTTGGAAAGTAGAATAGTGTAACATAATAAACGGTATCCTAACTTCATCTGCAAATTTGTAAATGCATTGACTAGTTCATTTTGACATAATTAATCATCAGCATGAGATAACAAGCACAAGTTTTTTTCAATTAAATGTAGTTTAACCCTTAGCTTCAATAACAGAGAAAAAATCAAAAAGATCGTACGTTGGAAGGTTTTTACAGAAAGCAAATCTTTTCATTTCGGGAAATCAAAGATTTGAAGTGTCATTAATATGTCTTTACGTACGATTGACCGGTAAGTAGTCCGCAGACGCAAAGAAAGTTCAATATTTGGACACGGTGACAGCATATTTGCACCCACCGACATTACACATAACATCCCACATAAAGATTTATGCACCCGCATATATATATATTGCACCCTCGGACATTTGCTCCCACGAACATTGGCACCCACGAACGTTTGTACCCACGGACGACATTTGCACCTCCGTACATCTGTAGCCTTACACAATTGCATCTATGGACCCATGAAACCCATGGACCCCCCATTTGCACCCATGAAATTTTGACGCATATGCATTTCGCCCCATATGCATTTCCTTACCCGTGGATATTTATTCGCAACTGCATAATTTGAACCCACAGTCATGTTTGCTCGGAAATAACTGTATTTTAGACAGACAGTTTTAGACAATTGCATCAACGGACATTTGCACCCATGACATCTTCATTCATATGCATTTCTCCACGACGACATCTTTAACCGTGGATATTTGCACCTGCATAATTTAAACACACAGTCATGTTCGCTCGCGAATAACTATGTTTTAGGGTTTTAGACAGTTAAACTTACCTATAAATATTCTGTTCAAATTTAACTTTCCAAGCATATGAATTTGGCGATAAAATACACTGCACGTTCTGTACGACCTGCCCGCAATAACTGGATTAACTAAATATCCTCTTACGCAGGACTATTGACTAATAAGGGTATAAACAAATGATGTTATTGCAAAAATGTATGAAATTATTTATGGATGATGATTCGCGACATCTATGACTGTAGTGCTGAAAATTACGTAGGTGCAAATATGAATGCTTGCAGGTGTAACTTACATTAAATTTCTGAGATCACAATTAGCAATAGAGGTAAATGTATATTAGCTTGGGTTTTAATATTTGTGGACCATATGTCTGTGAGTACAAGTGTATTTTCTAGATACAATTAACTAATTTCCCATTGGTGCGAACTAAAACGTAACAATCGTCGGTTAAAATTAATGTACATATGATAGTCAATAAATTAGTGTAAACGTACTAATGCTATATGAGGTTTAACATATTGGTTTATTAAATAAATGCGCACGGGTGCAAATATGCTCTTGCCGAACCGAAATATGAAAATTTGTTGGAAGGCTATAAAATATATTGTTGCCAAATTGATTTAAAGAGCATAATCCCAGAAATATGATCATACCAATATTCGGTCAAGTAGCTTATATGTAAATAAATATGTATATTTTATTAGGCGTTTATCATCATTATAAAATGCGGTATGGCCTGTCAATACTCTTGCTATACGATTTTTTTATTTCAACTTTTTCGGAAAATGATCAAAAATATCTCGTAAGCCTTTATTGCGTTATACCCCAAATAAAGTGCAAACAAATCTGAAATAGTGCTGCAATTTTCTACCTTTCGTCATAATCATTGATTTCTATTCCATACATCTCACCTAAGATATTCCCTTGCCGTTTAAAGTATAATATTACGTCTTTACGCAATTACTCGAGTTATAATATTCTTTTAAAAAATATAGAGGCGACATAGGCAGTGAGTGATTCCTAATGTATGAGTTGCAACCCAAAGTTGTGCCACTTCATTATCCTCTATGTTCGTGTTTTTGCAACAAAAATTTAAAGATTTTCTAGTGATTCAAGGCTTTTGTGGTACACTAACACAAATATATTTCTGACAAGGTTGGTAATCGAATTGTGTATTCTGAGGAAGTCTGACCTTGGTCAGATAAAACGTTACAGAAATATATTTGTATTGGTGTGCTTATATTTGTGTTGGTGTGTCTTGCATTACGTAGACTCGTAGAGGTATCTTCAATCTTGCTACAGCATCTTTGCATACGGATCCGTATATACGCATAATTGGTCCAACAGAAACTCAACCGATAGCACAGAAAACATATAAAGATATTGAATAAATTTTATTATTTATTTTATATTTGAATAGTTGATTAATAATAATTGTACAAGTGCGAAGTACAATAGCATAAAGTCGCTTGCTTTTACGTGCTGGTGAATGTAGCTATGTTTATGAAAACGTTTCAACTTTTACATGCGGCTTCGTTCAAGTAAAGCCGCACCACTGTGAATCCAGCGGAATTTCAGCGGAAATATATTCTGCAGTTTTCAACCGGTTCCCATGCGGAAAATAATCTTTTTTTACAATTTTTATAAGGGATAAATGGATCCTATTTGAAATAATATGTTCCGAAGGGAACAACTCAGACTAAAATATAAGTTTAAGCACATTTAGCTGGTAGTGGTAATTACAACATACATAACTGTATATCACATAAAACAGAAAAACTAAAACGCATGGGAACTAGTTGAAAACTGCAGAATATTTTTCCGCTGAAATTCCGCTGGATTCACAGTGGTAAAGCCGCGCCACGATTCGCTGATGAAACGTAATACCTATAGCAAATATTCTGCAAACATATTAGTAATTTCATTTTGTGGCCATAACATCACTACCTGACGTTGAATACTTGAGCGTAATATTACTTGGGTCGCGAGATTTCCAAAATCCTTTTTATAAAAAATTGGTTTGAAACCATTGATATAGGGAATCAGACAAGCATGTTTTTATTTGTATTTCATGGTACCATCGCGACTCTATGTAAACCGATTCCTAGTGCAATTGTAATCAAAATAGCAAAATAGTACATATAACAAAAGAGTAATCATATATATATACAAAAATGATTAAAAAAACAAAAACTTATCACCCATTTATTTTTAAAATCCATACAATATACAAGATTATTCCAACATGAAAATGAAAATTTGTAGCATCGAAGAAACAATTCCTGGTAATGTGGGTTCGTACGTGTATGGCTTTTGGACAAACACTGTTAATAATGCCCACATGGACTTGGTATGAGCCGGCTCCTAACGACGACATAATAGATTATAGTTTAACTGATGTAATTTTCAATTTGAACTTTCCCATCAGTCAGGCCTAGCTAATGAATAATTTTGAGTTAAATTTGTATTTTTAAAAGTTGTTGTGCCAGTATGCACAAGTATTACATAGATTATTAATTTATATCATCAACCGCCAACTTCTCTGACCGAAAGTCATTATAAATATCTATTATTCAATGTGATTGAAAAAGAAACAAATGGGATATTAAACGGTCTTATATCAACAGCTCATCTCCTTCTTCTGATTTGAGTTTTTCAACTTCAAGTAATTCTTGACCTCCATTATTTATGCTTGACTTTTTCTCATCTTTTTCATTTGTGAATCTAGTTCTGAAAAAAAAAACACATAGCATTATCAAACTTTAAATTCAACATCAAATTTGTTTCACAAAAATGGCATTATTTAAAATATAAGAAATTTCGGAAATGTTCAATTTCAGTCTCTTCATATCATAAGCTATTAATTATACAAATTTCGTTAGGATAACCAGATCGATAGTGATTTAAAACGAAAATATATAATCAACGATTTGATAATACGATATTATTTTCAAATCTTCATTTCAATATGAACATACCTTCCACCCGAAGCCAATTTGCATTGAAATATATCATATTTTGCTGGAATATACTTTTTTTCGAAAAGAAACTTAGCCAGGTATGATAATGAGAGTAGGGTTCCTAGTGACATCAGCATAGAAAATGTGCGGAAAGGAAACGTTTTTCCGCCAGGATAAGGGATGATAGGATCAAAGTTGAAAGCAGGCTCTCCTCCCCCGATTCTCAGAAGAAAGCCAACAAAGAAGGCAGGCAGTGCTCCATAAGTGTTAATATCGAAGTACAGTACGCAGACCATCTAAAATTTTATATATGTACAGTTGGATACAGTCAGAAAATGTTTGTTAATTTAAACAGAATGGATTATAATGAAAAAACACCAAAATGACTTATTGAACGCACTGTTTTTCGAGTATCCCGATTTTAAAAGAATGGGTACAATGAAAAAATTTGCTGTGATATGGTCACGATGAAAACAAATTTTTGCCGTATGGCACATACAAGTTATTTATGTGTGAGACACCAGTAAACAATGGACTACTAAATTTTATTAATTTGGTGTAAACTTAAGACAAATTTTGAAAACAACCAATCAAGGAGTGGTAATAAAGATGATGATTTTGACTGTAAATTAATTCCAAACATGTTTGAAATACAGCATACAAATATATACATATTTATTTGAGCTAAATAATCAATCAGTATATAGTATATCGATTTACGTCATCTAGTAGTTTATAAATTTGATAATGTTTAATATTGAATAAGGTTAAGAATAAACGGTTGTCGATTGCATAGCATAGTATAAGAGCAAGTTATAATTGAGTGATACGACGTAATGATGGATGTCCCAATACTGGGTACTTCAGAAGGTCAAACCACAATGTATGAAGATTCGACAGACTTTCTATTATTAAATAACATGAGGTACTAGGTCATGAGGTCAAGCAGATGCTGATGCTACTGGTCATACTTTATGTATCTTACGCCAGGGCGCAATTTAAGGTTTATATCTTGAGTAAAAGTTGTGCAAAGGAAATTAGAAAAATATATATATTTTTAAAAAAATAAAATAAAATAATGAAATCCAAAAACAGAAATCTCAAATTTTATACCTGTGGCGAAAGTACGACAAATGCCACATCCACACAAAGAACAAAGAGTCCATATACCGATGTTGCTGCAAGTGCAAGGGCGCAAGCAGCAGCACCAATTACAATAATACCGATGCGAATTACCCAAACTGTTTCTCTGTCAGATGCCTGAAAATATATACACGTTAATGTTAATATCTCACTCACTAAGTACGCCGGGAACAAGTTATTACCCAGCTTGTAAACTCAATCAATCAAATCAAAGAATTTGAATTAATGCTCAGTAGGTTGGATTTAAAACAGTAATCTTCAGTAATCTCTATATCGATGGTGCAAATCAGTAATTAAAATATTAAGTTTTATGAACAAACAACTTGAGATGTGGGAGAAAACAGCACTGTATTAATCTGTACTTAAACTTTTAACGCAGCTATTCCAGAATCCACAAAAATTCATTCTGGCAATCGATCGTATATCATTAAAACATCAGCTTACATGCGGACGGATTACTTTCTTGTAGACGTTGTGAGAAAACATCGAAGCAGACGATAAAGTTATCGAATCAGTAGATGACATCACTGCTGAAGAAACCGCTGCTAAGCCTATAATTGCTACAGGCGTCGGAGTAAGATATTGTAAAACCAGCGGCAAGACAAGACTCGATTCATTGTTTGCTGCAGGCCCGTCTGCAAATTCATAATCAGTCGCATTCCAATCTGTAGATAAATTAAATATAAAATAGTAGGTTATAACTTGAGTTCAAATAATCAAAATGAAAGCTAATCGTTTCATGTCTTCAATTTAATGGTTAAAACCACTTTTTCCATCAGGGAAGGAATTTTTCCCCGGGAAGGTTCCTTGTTATGAAGCAATTTTGCTTTGTTTTTGCTATAGTATTATTATAATAAATTCAAACCAATTTAAAAATATTCCGCAATTTACGGAGTGATCATAAGTTGTACCTGTTGAAGCTGCAATAGCACCAATTATAACTGGTGGAATAGTCAACACGAGAAAACCGGCTGCAGATACAACTGACAAAAGCTTTGCTGTACGTGCATCTTTGCAAGCTAATACACGTTGATAATAGACCTGCCAGGGAACGGCACCACCGACCTATGAAAAGGCAATACAGTTATGAAAGTTCAACGTTCGAACCCAATTACCCACGTTGGCTCGACATGATGTTGATTCTGATCGTTTTGACAAGGGCGTGATAGGTTTCAAAATAATGACTCAAACTATTGTGATTATATGTCAATTTAGTAGTATCTTTGACGTATCAAAATACGAGAATCCAATTAATCCTCCCACCTATATTACATTCAATTGTTTCGTCATAAGTAGGGAGAGGTAAATAATATCGTAGGCTTACCAATGTAACGGCGAAATCGAACCACTCCCATCCTAGTTTTGGATCCAGTTCTCCAAGCCAACCTGTCTCGTTTCCGTTCATGTGACTTGTCAGTGTTATTTCGGTGACAGCAGGATGAGTCATTGCAAATGGAATGCAAAGCCACTGCAATTCAAAAACAACAAGTGAAAATTTTGAAAATATCATAACGACAAATTACAAATTTTTTTTGTTCTACAGTCACGCAATAACTGATATTTAGAAAAATATACCTCAGCCACATCCAAGATCAATGTCATTTGACCTCTAATAGTCTACGCTAGGGGTGTGGAACCTTTATTACAGGAGGGCCAGATTCAGGTAATTGGGTGAAGCCGCGGGCCGCACTTTTATTTAAGATATAATTTATAGTAGTTTCAGGCACAAAAAATGTTTTTGTTATAGCTATTTTTGGTAATATGACTGTGGTCTCGGGTACTGGTACAGGCTTTGCCACGCAAAGTGATTGGAATTGCTCGCACGTGCCAGAATAACCAAACTAAAAGCTCGTTTCGCGGGCGCACCATTCAAAATTGGCACTTCTCCGCAGGCCGCTCAATATTACCTTGCGGGCCTCAGTTTGCACACCGCTGGTCTACGCCAAATTTTATATCTGAGAACATTGAAAATAAGACTCCTGCACAAGCTACAATATACGACTGTAAAATGAAAAAAATTGTTGGATTTTGCGGAGGTTAATTTAACGCAATTGCTCAGTGACAACGATTTTCTCCAGTAATAGGATCATGAGCAAACTTTTTTTGTCGAAATTCCAACTCAGTCGCAGTCAAATGCACAGTTATCTCTCGCAACGATTTTCGATAGACTGGCCGAGAGTAAACAATGTAGTTTAAATTCCAAGTTTCACTAAATTTTACAACATTAAATTATAGCTTTATATTAGGTGCTTGAAGCTAGAATGATATATTTTTGTGCGCATGAATACTTGACAATGATCTTGATAATAGAATACATTGAAGCGCAACTGGTATGAGACGTCATCTTAAGACCTAATGCAATATAGGGATGAAAATCAAGCTGCAAATTCAGCCGAAGCACGTTAAAAAATAATTGGATATTGGAATCCCAAAAAAGTGATATCATTATCTCATTTTATTTTTGGCTCAATAAAGGTATATATTAATTATATCGGCCTTTTACATAGTTAACTGATACCATAAACATGAAGTGATATGACTGCAACAGCGAAGGGAAACGATGACGCCGATTCAATTATTTTTGATTATTCACGCGCAGATTTGTATACAAACGGATGTTGTTTTGTCACATGCATGAGCATAAGTAAAGACACGATAAATGCTATCATCTCCGCCACTCGACTACGGACGGATGGCTTTCGCAGGGAACAGCTTTCAAAAAAAAAAAGCTTAGTTGCGTTTGTGGTTTACACAGTTTTGTGATGTTCATTCTCCACATTAAGTCTGTTTTGACGTGCATGCCGTTCGTAACAAGCCTTCAGCATGACGACAAATAGCCTTGAGGTTGGTTTTTTACGAAGAAATTTTAAATTGACGATAGGTAAAAAACAAACAACAACTCTCAAGGTCAAATGTAACGTTATTCTGGTATAACACAAACAACAAATGCGCGATTCTGCATGCGCAGTCCCAATTTTAGACCCGCCAATATATACAGCGACAGTGTTTCGATAAACATGGATCAATGCTGTAAGCAACAATATTTACGTTTCATAAGTCTGGTATGGCCAAAGGCAATAACCAAAACGTCTAAACAAATTCCTGAAATGATAAATAAACTGGTAGCATTGTGCAAAATATATATTTGATGGGTCAACTCTTGGTACAAGTGCTGCAATGATGCGGTTTAGCAATAAATTTCATTTGAGCCCGTGGAAACGACTATAAAATATATAGTCAATCAATTGCCGCAGCAGCGTGAATTTTTGTGTAAAGAATTCTTTGTCTGGTTTTAACATCTATTTAAATACTATAAATGTATTTATATCAAGCCTTTCTTAAATTTAATTTATTATTCCGGCAATATGGCGTTACCTTCCAAATGACCTGATTTTTACAATGGTACAAGTAGTGAAAAACATTTCAGCATAAATATGCAGTCGCTGGGTTTGCCGTGAATACCACCTCTGAGTAACTAAATCAATAGCTTCATAAAAAGTTTGAACAGAATCAACAGATAACTAAATATGGCAGTCTGTCAAAGTTTTCCTGTAAACAAGAAGACCTCTGTTGCTCTACATTGAATTCGCTGATTGGATTAAATTGGCCTGGTTTGTCGTTCAAAATATTCATTCATCGATTGGGTCAAATGTCACACCGGTTTAAATATTAAACAATAGCCGGGAAAATAAGTTTGAATTCTAATGAACTGCATGATAGGTACAGAGTAGTATCAGTGCTATATTATATATCATATATAGCAAACTGTGTATAATCAATAAACGACCAATGCGAGATTGAAATGAATTGCACTTTAAGATCCAAAAACTAGAAAGGTCATATTTGCAATTACCAACTTAAAAATAGATTCTTACTTTTTACGCATTCGAAGTGAATGCTTAACGATGAGAAACTCAATATTATATTTTTGTTTTTGTAGCACAAAAGTGTAAGCGGCTTATTTAGTTTAACAAACAAAACTTAATCCTATAGGCCGAAACTGCAATTTTGGATCTTTGAAGCAATAATACCGTCCTGAGTGGCATGTATAGAGATTACAAGTCAAGATTACACGTTTTTCAATTGTTGATTAAAAACAATTTCACATACAGCATGAACTTCTTATAATGAATATTAGCGAAATATATGGCATCGATGTAAATTTATTTTGACATGTTTTGCTCGTAAAGATTTTAACACTGGTCTTATATTGTAACATGCAAGATAAAATCGCCGTTAGAATAAACAAACCATACGGACAAAAACGTGAAAATAAAAAGTAAAACTTTCTGAAAGTTCTATCCAATACTAAAATACCTGGTGGGTAGACGTAGAAGTGCAATCCAAATACATTGATGGGACGTTCCACCATGCACTTCGTTCTGCAAAAAAACTATTTGGCGAAAATATCCCTCGCAGTTAACGAGAAAACAGTTATTCTCTCGTTAATGGAAAAATTAAGAGACAAATTGCCAAGAAAAGTGAAAAGAAATTGTGAGATGTGATGATGTTTATGCAATGACTGAAAAAAGGCAATTTCAAGTCATACATGTCGATAAAATGAAAACCAAATTCTTTATTTATACCCAATTTTTGTTTTGAATTTTACTTTGTAATCAAATCATTGAATCAACCTCTGCCTCGTAAAAAAGTGGCATCTTGGCATATTTAGGCGTGTAATATTTCAAAGACTATATCATTATTTCGACACATACATTTTTATGTTATGTGGAAAAGAACAAAATCAAATGTAACATAAACTGTTTTTAAATCTGTATATTAACCAAATTATACTGTATTTTTCTTCAAAGTAAGATTATTTTTAATTCTGAACTATAGTTGGTGAAATATGCCAAATCATCACAGAAACATACGTGTAGAGTTGATGACACAAACCTGGCAGCAAGCGCATGTGGATCACCCCCCCCCCCCCCCCCCCCCCCCAGTCAAATAAAAAACAATAGCAATTCTGTAACATCGTTTATCACATTGGCCACGCGCTTTATCAACGGCACATACTTGGCTGATGAAAGTTCTGCGTGAATTTTCCAAATAACGTTTGCATCATTAGGATAGGAAGTATCTTGAGTATTAATCGTTATTGACCTTGCTCTGCTAACGTCTAGACAGAGTCAGGATTTCATCTGTAAAAACTCGATTCGTGTTTGTTGAATGACACAAAGGAAGCCGTCTTATTCACGATATTCTTGGCCCAACCATATGGATGTGGAAAATATATGTTATTATATTCTGAAGTGTGTAAGAGAAAAGGAAAGAGTATGAAAGCTCCATGCAATAGAGTGTCAATACGAGAAACAAAAACTATCCATTTCATGCAACCTTCATCAGAAAAAAAAAATTACAAAATATTTTGAACTTACCAAGCCTCCAAACATACACAGGAGTTGCACGACATCAGTATATGCAACAGCATAAAGACCGCCGACTAGTGTGTAAAGTATGGATACACAAGATGAAAATATGACGGAAATTTTCACGTCAATATTTAAGATGACAGATAGAGTTCCACCTATTTAAAATCATGAAGTTTTTAAATATTTTTAAACTTTGATTCGCAGACAGCAAAATTGGCATTCATATGTAATCAACTCATTAGTGGGTGGAGTTCAGATATAGTGCAACCAAATACAAAAGTTAAGCAATATAAGTTGTTAACGCGGCGATTCGTAAACAATTAACAGTTGAATTTAATCGCATTGAAGCGATAGTCACGAATCGTGGTTTCAAATTTCAGGATGGGAATCAAGCATATGGAAAATAGTACTGAATGTTTTTCAGAGCTTCGTACATAAATACTTACCCAAGGCCGACAGTATTGAAGCAGCCCAGAATATATCGCCACACAATGCAGGTAGAAACAAAAGGGCTCCCATATGACGTCCCAACTTATTTTGCAATGGATCCAACATTGTAACATATGACTAAAAACAATACATTTTTTACTTTTACACATTACTATTGCAAAGTTTTTTTTGAGCATTGCGAATAAATCTAAATAGACTAAGTATACAAAATTAAACGCCGAAGAGACGCGCATTGCTTGATTATCATATTCGAGAGTTCATGTCCCCAATGTATTTTAGTATTAGTTATAGAAAATCGTCAATAACATGATTCTCGTTGCTATAGCAGTCACGTGGTTGTGCCTCTATTTATCAATTTTAATTGCAAGTGACTTACAGCATTTCTCATCTTTTCAGCGATGAAAAATCCAACAAGTGTCACACCAATTGCAAGACACCACGGTGCCTGGGTCCATATCAGTCCAAGACCTGGTGCGTATACAGCTTCAGAAGTGCCATTAATATATCCACCTCCTACCCATGTCGCTGAACAAAAGTGTAACATAAATTTATAAATATGACATATCGCAAATATGGTAATTTGCGATGATAAATATCAATTCATGGTATCACGTGGAAGCATATTATATTTGGAACATCAGCCTGTTGGTTAAGTACAATTGTAACAACAAATGTGAGATTTGATTTTATTTCGTAATTTTATTCCATGGATTATGCAGAGGTCATGAAATCTATGAAGAGGTAATTTGCATCATTACTAAAACATACTGATTAAATGCGGATCATTTTGTCGCATACAGCATATTTTGTTAAACATTCGACGTCAATTTCGTTGTAAGCTAACCAAAACACTAATACTTGGAAATATTTTCTCTAATCGGAAAGCATTGTGATTACAAAACAGTATATATTTTTCTCATAACAACTTTGCGAATACGTAAAAACAATTAGATAACAGAGCTCATATTACAATAGAGTAAATATGATTTATTCATTTTATAAGTAGATCAGGAAGGTTTTCCACTGGGAGTCAAGGTTTTCCACTGGGAGTAATATGCGGCAAGATAAGATTGTTTCAGATCGCATTACAAATTTTAATTAAATAAAGAAATGAAAAATAGTAGACATTTAATATCAATTTGGATATAAATCACTTACCGGTAACCGTGAAAGACCCTAAAAGAAACCCAATGTCTCTGTTTGCAACCATGATAACTTCACTTTTATTTCCCTTGCCTTTTCTTCTATTTGTCCAAGCCGCCCAAATACCGAGTAATAGGATCGCCAGGTACAACGCTATGACTACACACAGTCCTAGAATGTTAAGTTCCATTTTTGGAATTGTAAATAGGTATTGCACGCTAAGACCTGAAATAAATCACATGAGAATTGTTTAATAAACGTAAACATCGCGTTTGTAGATAAATTCGGCGGGACGATCATTCGATAGTGAATCGTTAGTACCGCGTTCCGTTGATATAAACAATTCCAGTACCTTCTAGCAAAATACATGGAACCTTTCTCCTCAGCCTATAGAGATTTCTAGTCAAGTGAAACGTGGAAAAAAAATCCATTCATCTATGTTTAGAGAATTCTCAAAGCAACCTTATCACTAAAAGAATTTGTATTCTTATCAAACACACAAACAAATTCCAGGAACGGCCCGGCCCGTTTGATTCTGCTGCCAAATACAAAGCTCGTCTTTAACACAATTCCCAAATGCAAAAAATGGATACACATTGAAAAAAACTTCTTGCTAAACGTCTATAAATTGAAACTGAAATGCGATTTCAAGGTATCCATGTTCTTTTTTAAAGCGCATTTTCATGCTAATGAGTCCATGCTAAATAACCTCAATGGTTTAAAGATATATACCGGATGCAAGACGAGAACGTCGATCGATACAACGAGTCATGAATCATTCTAAAGATAAAATCATTTCCAATCAGGATGTTAAAGACAATCGCACTATTGCGTTACAAAAATTAGTCTCAAGTTTTCAAGTTGCAATTAAACGTAATATAAAATATAAAATCAGACAAAATCTCGCAATGGCGTTTCACGGTCTCACAACTATGATCACCAATCAGTATTTACTGAATATAAAAAATAATCTAAAACCCCTAAAACAAATAACGCTGCTAAGTAGCAAAACAGTGGTATTTTGTAAATGACAGGGAGATAGGAAGCTTGAAGTTATGCTAAACCTCTTATATATATGCGTATTTCACTATATCTCAATTTAATTCTTTCTGATAACGTAACCTTTATGACTATGACTACAACCTCAATCATGCGCTGTCTGGTTCGCCAAGAGAATGCAACAGCTAGTCCAAGTATGAATCCAATATAGCAAGGCGAGATGTATTGTGATTTAATTTGCTTCGGCATTGAATGGAGGAACTATTATTCTAATATTATAATTTATAGCATATGAAGAACCGCTCATCATCACATATTCAAATACTAATAGCTTTTGGGTTGTCTTTCAAAACGCCTCATACAAAGTCTGTGAATATAAATTAAACTATGCTACATTACTTATTGTTATTGGGGTTCTAATGTTTTAGCCAAATGAACAGATCAATGTATAAAACTCAATGAATTTGTAAATCGCTTCAAAATCATATTACTTATGACAAGCTTGACTTCAAAGTAGCAATAATTTAGAATCTATATCTCCATACCAATCGGATGATCCATTCTCATAATCCACTTTAATCTGATCTCTAACATAGTAATTAATATTACAAAACGAACCGAAGAAAAATAGATGACATTTTTCACAAACCACAACCCACTTAGAAAAAGCTAAGTTCTCTAAGCTAAGATTATGAGTTTGCTCTCTTTGGTATTAAGAACATCATTCGGCTGAAGATCTAATTGAAGTTACCGCATGTGCAACAAACGCAAATTAATTCTTTAACTTTCAGTAGACGTCAATTCAAATTTCTTATTCTTTTATGATAAATGATTGTTTCTTACCGTGATCCTCACTGCAGTTGATCTTTAATGAGTTGGATAACTAAATTTTTACAGTAAACTTCTACAACTTGTTCCAAACTTCTTCTTTCCCAAAACTATTAAATTGAAAGTAGGCAATGTGGCCACTATCTACGTGAAGCGTAGTCGTCAAATAATTTTTAATTGGATTTCAATAATAGTGCAAGACAGAAGGTAATTTTTTCGCCTTTGTTTAAAGTTGGTGTATATTATTTCGCCTGCCAGATACCTTCGTGCATGAACTGAAGTTGAATACACATCGACGTTGCATTTCATCAACGGCCGGTAATGATCGAATAAAGTGGATTCGTACGACAGCAAATTTTAAACTCGTGTAATTATTCATTACATGACGAGTAAAACACATCCCGTTCAGTTTTTTAAATAAAATTATTTCAACAATAATCAACGATGTAACGTTGAATATAAAATTGCTAATATTATTGAAAATTACAGCGCTTTTAACATTTTTCGTATCTTCCGGCTATTTATATGCGCTGCAACATTCTACGGTGTCAAATAATCATCACGAATGATTCATTTTCATTTTTTGTACACGAACACATCTCTTTGCTTTAATATTAATAAAGCTATATTCAAAATATATTATGTAATTTATTTGAAGTTTAACATGACTAAACACCGAAATCATTAGCTTCAATTGCTATTTTTGATGCATATCAAGCAGTACCTGTCCCAAAGTCTTGAAATTAACTATTTCATGATTGCAAATAATTCGATTTTACACTTCCCAACATGCCGTAGCCAATCACAGGTTTGTGGGCGCACATACTCTAATAAAGTAAAATTCTGCACGCGACCAAACAATATTCTTTTGAATCCATGGAGTAAGTCCAAAAGTTAAAATATCCCAATCAGCTAAATGGCGTTGATGATAAAAAAAAATAATTAAAAAAAAAAAACAGAATGGATAAAAAATTTTAAGCCACAAACTCAATTCGAAACAGTTACATCCTACCTCACTTATGCGTGGAAAGTTTGCAAAGTATGTTTAAAAGTTGCTGGCAGCTTATTTAATCCAATAAAATGGAACACCCACACTCATGTTATGAACAAAATTTTGGTATGTGAATTACAAGGCAAGCACTAAACCCGATCAGGACCTGCACGCAAAAACCGACCACCATGCTCGTTCAGCATTTTGAAAGAAAAAATGGTGTTCCCGAAGTATTGGCGCACAACCTGAATTTAGTATGTGTACCAGGTTAGGGTTATCAGGTTGTGCGCCATCTTGGTACACATACTTCTGAAGCGCCAAAAATATTTTTAAAAATGCAAGGTCATCTATATATGAAGTTGACGGCCAATATATATTGCATAATAAATTTTGCAATATAATGTGCAATAATTGTTCCGCTATAACGTTTTCTCATTTTAAGCACAAAGCGACTCTATTTAATAGTACGGCATCAATGGCGAAGAATAGGGATAATAAAACCAATATAGCAATTTATGTTCAGCCCATAAAATACAGAAAATGAGAAAGTATAGTCTATTTTTTGATACAATACTAATTAAAGTTTTATTACTTACTGAAATACATGAACAAATTTTCACGCGATCATAAATGATCTAATACTTCCTCACGTGGAGCTAAGTCTATGCTATTACGCTACATAATTAACCAGCATTATAACTCTTTTTAGCATTATTACTCGCCACATCATCGCCACTTGTGGCAAATTTCGTCTGAAAACAATTTTATTTACACTGGGTCATTGAGTTATTAGCACTGTTATATAAGATTCAATTTTTTTTTCGTTCGTGGTCTCATGGGAAAAAGGAAGTAGACAGCTTGCACCAACTTCCCTGCTGTGACGCGCACTGTCACCAGTTCAGCTGCGTTTCCTTTTTGTTTGTGAAGTATGGTCTAAACTAAAGCTCTGTGCAAGAGAGAAAATATGCATTTTGTTTCACACATCACCTTCCTATTTTGATCTGTGCTATATATTCTCACGTCAACCATACGAATACCCGTACGACAAATAAATCTAGACCATTTTACAGTATAGAAATTTGGGGTACTTTTAGTGGTCGTGGATTAAGCCATCCAAAAATTGCCTCTAACCCCGACACAGTCTTTCTTTTACCGTAAATACAAATCAAATACAAAATCAATCTCACAAAAAAAATGTTAGAGGTTCAACATGCTTTTCAGGAAAATTCTTTTTTTGCCATAAAGTTCAATCGCACAAAATTGCATTCTCCCAACAATCCATTTGCTCGAAAGTATATTCTCGCAAAATACAACGGCCCACGAATTCATTTACCCATCACTACTTTTACAGAAAAAAATCAGTTTACGCAAAATTAAATCCGAGCCAAAGTTCCTTTTCGCAAAGCTGCCTCCTCGCGCATATTCATTCTTGCATAAGGCTTATTTCGCGTAATATTTCCTGCCGAGTTGAGTGCTCTCAATATCTCTAATGTCTGTGACTCAATCAGTGCCCTACTTTGTCTGGCAATATATATGTGTTATGTATGAAAAAAATTTATACAACATCTGCTGCTGTTAACTCAGTCCATTAACCTATAGATACATAAATTCTCAGGACCAGCGTCTTTACTTTTTGTGATACACGTATGTAGGCGAATATTACAATTTCTATTCACTACACAAAGTAAAAATGCTACTCACACCTTTGTTCCTAACAAGCTAGTGCTAATGACATAAAGCTGATGGATTTGTAAAGGCCGGAATTTTAAGAATTGACTAGCCATACCACCTTTTTGGACCTCCTGAAGTATGCGCACCAAGATGGCGCACAACCTGAGCTCAGGTTGTGTACCAGGTTAGGGTTCAGGTTATGCGACATCTTGGTGCGCATACTTCAGAAGCACCAACTTTTTTATATTGTAAATAACGCACGCGGTGGCTCAGATTTAAAAAATTATCCGATCACGATTTTACCAGCTAATCTAGTACATTCTATTATAACATAGCAACGTAATAAAAATCAATAATCATTTTGCAAAAATATAATAAGCCAGTACTGCCCCAGGGTTTCAGGTTACAGGAAAAAAGATGGATGTTGAATTGAAGTTACCGCGAGCGCAACAAACCGCAAATTAGTTCTTTAACTTTCAGTAGACGTCAATTCAAATTTCTTATTCCTTCATGATAAATGATTGTTTCTTACCATGATCCTCGCTGCAGTTAATCTTTAATGAGTTGGATAACTAGATTTTTACAGTAAACTTCTACAACTTGGTGCAAAACTTCTTATTTTCTAAAACTATTTAATTGAAAGTATGCAATGTGGCCACTATCTACGTGAAGCGTAATCATCAAATAAATTTTAATTGAATTTTAACAGGCTAATAGTGCAAGACAGAGAGTAATTTTTTCGCCTTTGTTTAAAGTTGGCGTATGTTATTTTGCCTGCCGGATATCTTCGTGCATGGACTAGAATTGAATACACATCGACGTTGCATTTCATCAACGGCCAGTAATGATCGAATAAAGTGGATTCGTTCGACAGCAAATGTGAAGCTCGTGTGATTATTCATTACATGGCGAGTAAAAAACATTCCGTTTAGTTTTTTAAATAAATTTATGTCAACAGTAATCAACAATGTACCGTTGAATAAAAAATTGCTAACATTATTGGAAATTGCAGCGCTCTTAACATTTTTCGCTTCTTCGGCTATTCATATGCGCTGCAACATCATAGCTTCTAATAATCATCACAAATGAATAATTTTCAAATTTTGTACATTAACACATCTCTTTGCTTTAATATTATTAAAGCTATATTCAAAATATATTATGCAATTTGTTTGAAGTTTAACATGACTGAATACCGAATCATTAGCTTCAATTAATATTTTTGGTGCATATCAAGCAGTACCTGTCACAAAATCCTGAAATTAACTATTGCATGATCGTAAATAATTTGATTTTCAGTTACCAATACGCCGCAGCCAATCACAGGTTTGCGGGCGCTCATACTCTAATAAAGTAAAATTCTGCACGCGACCAAACAATATTTTTTTGAATCCATGGAGTAAGTCCAAAAGGTAAAGTATTCCAGTTAGCCAAATAGCGTTGATGATAAAAACAATAAAAAAAAAACAGAATGAATAAAATTTTTAAGCCACAAACTCAATTTAAAACAGTTACATCCTACCTCACCTAAGCGTGGAAAGTTTGCAAAGTGTTTTTAATTAAAAGTTGCTGGCGGCTTGTTTGATACAATAAAATGGAACACACACACTCATGTTATGAACAAAATTTTTGTATGTGAGTTACAAGGCAAGCACTAAACCCGATCATGCACGCAAAAACCGACTTACCACCATGATCGTTCAGCATTTGGAAAGAAAAAGAGGTGTTCCCGAAGTACGTGCACCAAGATGGCGCACACCTGAACTTAGTATGTGTTCCAGATTAGGGTTATCAGGTTGTGCGCCATCTTGATGCACATACTTCTGGAGTGCCAACAAAATATTTTTAAAAATGCAAAGGTCATCTATATATGAAGTTGACGGCAAATATATATTGCATAATAATTTTTGCCATGTAATGTGCAATAACTGTTCCGCTATAACGTTTTCTCATTTTAAGGACAATGCTAATCTACGCCGTAATAGTACGGCACAATTTATGTTCAGCCCGTAAAATACAGAAAATGAGAAAGTTAAAGTCTCAATAGGAAATTTATAACGAGGACAGGAAACAAGGTCATTACTAATGCGACACGGAGTTTGATACTGGCCTCGCAAACGCTTAAATGTGCTACTGAGTAAAAACTCATAACATATTAGGTTTTCTTATAAATCTATACTCATGCAGTTTAATATCATATAAGAATATTATATTAGATCGTATTGAGATAAAACTATTGACAATATTCTTAACTTTGGTTGGGAAATGTTTTCCATAGCTTCTTTGATTGTTTCAACGCTGTTTTTTTTACGCTTGACTACAATGTTTCTGTCTTTGATTATATTCAGACAATGTTTTCGAAGCAGATGGGATGATGACAACCATTTCAATTGTCACTGCAGCTTTGTGTCTCAATCAGTTTGCTAGTATTTTTGACATAATTAAAAAATTGGAGTATGGTAGGCGGCAAGTATCGCATGTCCCTTTGATAATTACGTTCAAATCGCACACTAGGTGATGAAATGTTGACTTAGCGTAATGACATCTGATTGATATTGCAGCGCCGTTGCTTTTAATCCACATTGCCACATGGTCTATACTGAATTGAGTGTAAATTGGACTTTCATTCACTCCGGCGTTATTAAAAAGAAAAATATATACTCAAAATGTAATAACCTCTAATAGAAATCAACAGAAACACAGGATAGTGCAGGAATACTAAAGCAAATTCGTCCTAGAAATATTACAAGTATTTCAAAAAATCAGTGTTTCTAGTCACAGTACTTAAATCTGTGGTAAACATCTGCCATATTGCCAATTTTCTGACAGAGAACTAAAGAAGTTTTATACAGTAATGCTTCCCTGCGCCAAGGATTAGACGTTGTATACATAATTGACAACTGTCAGCATATTGATCAAGCTCAGAGATTTCGCCGCTTTGCTTATTTTATGCGTTTTTTATGATATATTATATATATGGCATTTAATCACCTGTTCATTTATTACTTATCGACCTTAAGATCGGTAAGTATGTTAATAGGTATTTGTCTGTCTGTCTGTTTGTTTTTCTGTTAGATGAGCGTGATATCTCACGAAGGCGAGGTTGATTTGCTCCAAATTTTAGTTAGCGAGTTATGAATTAATTAGTGGTGGGACACGCGGTGTCACTATAGAGTCATGGATCGGAACCGCAGTTTCGATCGATAAGTTTTCGGTTTTCGACCGATATTATTGTTTTTATATTGATACGCATTGGATGTTTATTCGGCCATTTTCCTCTTCTGATCAGTGATGTTTTTTACGTTTTCTGAACGTTTTTTAGTGCAACTTGTACAGATTCTTCTTGTTTAATTTAATACGCGCCATGTTCGCCTACAATAGTGAGAATAGCACGCTTTCTCAAAAACCTATATCTTGATGGTGCATAAATTGCTATAGTGTCTAAAATTCTAAATGACTCTTGCGCCTTTGGAGGACAACTGCTGCAATTGAGACAGCAAGTTTTTTTTTCAATTCAAGCGAAATAGCTAAGACAGAGGTGGGCAATTACTTTTCTGAATGGACCAGTTACTTGTAATAGACTTAAGCTCAAAACTCAATATGGAAAAGTATGAATAAAAACCTAAAGCTAGTTGAACAGATTGGTAAACGTTTATATTTATATAATATAAAGAAGAAAGATGTAACAATGACGTCTTTATGACGTTGTTTTCATAGGAAAACTGTAGTCGTCATTTCAACAGACACAAGTGAGACTGATAAACACTTCAGTGGCCGAATTGCCCACCCCCCGAACTAAGATGAATCCTGGCCCTATAGCAACGCCCCGACTATCTTGTATTTATGTTTTTAAATTGGATGATGTTAAGATGTAATCCAAAGCATAACTTTGTAACCTTTGCTCTTGCGTTCCAGACCAAGAGTTTCATGGGAATACATTATGTTATTTT